AATGACTTGGGAAGGAATTGAAACAGTCATCAAAAAGCTTCCAGCAAACAAAAGCCCAGGGTCAGATGGCTTCACAGGAGAGATTTACCAAACATTCAAGGAAGAACTAAAACCTATCCTCCTCAGACTATTCCAAAAATCCAAGAGTAAGAAACACTTCCAAACTCCTTCTACGAAGCCAGCATCACCATAATACCAAAACCAGATAAAGACAACTCAATGAAAGAGAATTACTGGCCAATATCCCTCATGAACATAGATACCAAAATCCTCAACAAAATTCTAGCAAATCGACTCCAGAAGAACATCACAAAGATCATACACCATGACCAAGTAGGATTTATTCCAGGAATGCAAAGATGGTACAATATCCGCAAATCAATAAACGTGATACATCACATAAACAAATTGAAAGATAAAAATCATATAGTCATATCAATTGATGCAGGAAAAGCATTTGATAAAATCCAACACCCTTTCCTGATAAAAACTCTTAACAAGGTGGGAGTACAAGGATCTTACCTCAACATAATAAAAGCTATATATGATAAACCCACAGCCAACATTATACTCAATGGGCAAAAATTAAAACCATTCCCTCTAAGAACAGGAACAAGACAGGGATGCCCACTCTCGCCACTCCTGTTTGACATAGTACTGGAAGTACTAGCCATTGCAATTAGATAAGAGGAGGAAATAAAAGGCATCCAAATTGGAAAAGAAGAAGTAAAGATATCCTTATTTGCAGATGACATGATATTGTACATAAAAAACCCAAAAGACTCCATTAGAAAACTAATTGACTTAATAAATGAATTTGGCAATGTAGCAGGATACAAAATTAATGCCAAGAAATCCATGGCATTTCTATACACCAACCGTGAAACTACAGAAACAGAGACTAAAAAAGCAATTCCATTTACCATCACACCAAAAAAATTAAGATACCTAGGAATAAATTTAACTAAGGAAGTAAAGGACCTATATGCGGAAAACTACACGAAACTGAAAAAAGAGATAGAGGAAGATGTAAGGAGATGGAAGAACATACCATGTTCATGGATTGGTAGAATCAACATCATCAAAATGTCCATACATCCTAAAGCAATCTATATGTTCAATGCAGTCCCCATTAAAATACCAATGACATATTTCAATGACCTAGAAAGAACTCTCCAAAAGTTCATTTGGAACAATAAAAGACCCCGAATAGCCACAGCAATCCTGAGAAAGAAGAGTAAAGTAGGAGGGATCTCAATACCAGACTTCTAACTATATTACAAAGCAACTGTTCTCAAAACAGCCTGGTATTGGCACAAGAACAGACATATAAATCAATGGAATCAAATTGAGAACCCAGATATCAACCCAAATCACTATGCTCAATTAATATTTGACAAAGGAGGCATGAATATACAATGGAGTCAAGACAGTTTCTTCAATAAATAGTATTGGGAAAATTGGACAGACACATGCAAAAGAATGAAACTAGATCACCAACTTACACCATTCACAAAAATAAACTAAAAATGGATACAGGACTTAAACATCAGACGGGAAACCATAAAAATACTAGAAGCATCCACAGGCAGCAAAATTTCAGACATATGCCAAAATAACTTCTTCACTGATACTGCCCCTAGGGCAATGGAAGCTAAAGAGAAAATAAACAAATGGGACTACATCAAAATAAAAAGCTTTTTTACAGCAAAAGAAACCATCAACAAAACAACAAGAAAGCCCACGGTGTGGGAGAACATATTTGCAAATAATACCACTGATAAAGGTTTAATCTCCAACATTTACAGACACCTTATACAACGAAATAAATTGAAGATGAATGATCCAATTAAGAAATGGTCAATGGACCTAAATAGAATATTTTCAAAAGAAGACAGTAGGAAGGTCAAAAGGCCCATGAAAACATGCTCAAAGTCACTAATTGTCTGAGAGGTGCAAATCAAAACAATAATGTGGTACCATCTCACTCCTGTCAGAATGGCCAACATCAACAAATCAACAAACGACAAGTGTTGGTGAGGTTGCGGAGAAAAAGGACCCCTCGTGCACTGCTGGTGGGAATGCAGACTGGTGCAACCACTGTGTAGAACAGTGTGGAGTTTCCTCAAAAAACTGAAAATGGAACTCCCATTTGACCCAGTAATCCCACTCCTAGGAATATATCCCAAGAAACTAGAAACACCAATCAGAAAGGATATATGCACCCCTATGTTCATAGCAGCACAATCTACAATAGCCAGAATTTGGAAACAGCCTAGGTGCCCGTCATCAGATGATTGGATCCAAAAACTATGGTACATTTACACAATGGAATACTATACTGCCATAAAAAAAGGAATTTTTATTATTTGCAGCAACCTGGATGGAATTGGAGAACATCATGCTGAGTGAAATAAGCCAATCAATGAAAGAGAAACACCACATGACCTCCCTCATTTGTGGATGATAAAGAACATTATAAACTGATGAACCAAGAGACAGATATAGAGACAGTAAAGCAACAGGCAGACTGTGAAATTACAGTGGAGAGGGGAGGAAGATCTGGGGGAGATAGATCAACCGAAGGACTTGTGTACATGCATATAAGTACAACCAATGGACATAAAACTCTGGGAAGGGAGGGTATGTATGGGAGGGAGGGAGGGGGGGCAAAAAAATCAATAAAATATATTATAAATAAATAAATAAATAAAATCTAATAGTTACATAATATATATTTTACACTGATTTTTTAAAGTGAAATTTGTATTAAAATCATAAAATAAAGGGCATAAAATAGAAGCCATTAATTATGTTGTAATGGTGAATCCTGGGTTCGGGTTGCTGTTTTAACAAAGTTTATTCTGTATAATGTGCATAAAATTCTTGCACTTGGGGGGTTCCCTCAGCAAGGCCTATCGCAGTCTGGGAGCCTTCGGGGGATGTCTGACAGCTACAGAGGTGAGAGAGGCTCCTGCCACCACACTGCACTTGCCAGCCTTGAGCCAGGCTCAGGGTTTCTGGCTAAGCAGCACTCCCCAGATGGGAGCACACTAATCAACAGGAGGCAGCTCATGCATTGAGGCTCTGCCCCCTGGTGGTCAGTGTATGTCATAGTGACCAGTCATTCTGCCATTCAGTTAATTAGCCTTTTATTATAGAAGATGGTCTGACATTCATTTCTCTTCCCCATTCCTCCAGTTTAAAATTTCTTAAAAGCACAATGCCATTTCTTTAACTATTTATTGATCATCCAGAAGCAAAAGTGCAGCACAGGAAAATAATCTTTATTATAATGTAACTAGAAACAGACTAGATAGGAAGTCCACACGGTATTTTTTTTTATTTTTTATGATCAGGCTTCAATAACAATAATCAAACAGAGTCTCAATTGCACAGATATTTTGGTCACTATTATAATCTTCAAGGGCACAAAAGCCAACAACGCAAACTAATATAAAGGTAATGACTATGAAAATTTCGTATGGACCAAAAATGTATATTACTGCATTAAATTCTACCCCTGTATTTTCTTAATATTCTTCTTAAACATTAAACAATTGTTACTCAGAAAAATATTAAACATGCACATAATATTCCTACAAGAATACTATCAATATTGTCAGTATTAATACCAAGCTATTCTTTCCCCCACATTCAATGAAACATGGTTCTATTACTCATATCTATGTGTGTTAGTGGTAATATGGAAACTTGATTTGTTTTCAAGGTTAAATAGCAGATTGATTTCGCATTTGGTGGCCAGCTGTAGATATTATTTTTAAAATAAATTTAACTACATTTCATAAATCCTGAGATTTTCAATAACTTGCCAATGATTGTATACTTTTCATTTATACTTCATTCCAATGAATTTGAACCCCACATAAGTATTTAAAATTATTTACAGATGGTTGCAACTAAAGCAACAATAAAGTTTACTACTTGTATAGTAAGACTCCTAATAAGGTCTTTAACTAAGAGCTGCATGTTTTATACATTTTTTACTTATTAAAGATCAATTCTTAAAATTTTTAAAGTTATGATTATCTGTCAGCAATAAGTCCTTTCACTTTGCTACATAAATAACCAGATTCACTTTTCCCTCTCTTGTAAAACAAGTTTTTTTCTTCCCACAAACATGTTAATAGTCCAACTGAACAGGTGCCAAAAGAAGCTTAGTATTTGAAGAGCAGATTGATAACCATAATGACTAGCAGAGAAATATGCTCATAACAAACAGGCATTCAATAGTATTTATTACACATGGAATGTGTGAATTTTAAGGCAGCTGTTAGGCAGATACTTTTCATCATGCACCATAACTCATTTTGTTTAACAAGGGAATTCAAGGTTACCAGATTTAATTTGCCCTCAAATGTAAATCCAAGATTTTGAAATTTTAAAAACTGTTTTAACAGTTCTCAAAAAATGTAAACAAGTTAATAGTAGTTGCTACTGCAATATTAGTTGAGAGAAAAAAAAGAACAATTGATTTCTACTAAATCATATGTACAACTGAGGAGAAGAAATACAAACTTAAGAAGTGTTAGCTAATTATTATTTTCTCCAGATTTATCCTTGCAGTGATTTTTGTTCATATATTTTGTTCATATATTTTGTTAACTTCTCTGAAGCTGAAAGAGAATTTTATTATCTGAATTGATTTCCCTAACTCCCTAGGTACATAATGTTAGTGAAAAACTGGTGTGGATATAAGGTTCTATTTTCAAGTAATGCCATGTTTCTGTATTTGTTTTTTGTTGTTGTTGTTGTTTTTTGCTGACATTAATTTTTTCCTATTGAAATGATTCTGTATTTATAGAATATGTGCGAATCTGCCAACTTACTATGTATGAGATTGCTTGCTTATAATATTCTATTTTTGAAGCATATTGCACACTTATCATCTAGAGTATTAATAAGTAACTTACTCTTTTTAGAAAGGATACACTGACAAATTCTCAAGTTAATGACTTTGGCCAAACAATTTTAGTATGTCACAGGACAATAGCAATGGCAAAAACATTGACGATACAGTTCATGGTTCGGTTCTCCCATCTTACGGTACAGGTTCCTGAAAACACACACACAAAAGGATTTGAAATACCAGCAAAATAATGAAATTACCAGATAATATATTTATGCATTTTCATAGGTTTTAATATCTTATTTCTTGAAATCTGTTAAAATATTTCATATTTGTTTAAAGACATACTTGTCAATTATAGTTAGATACAAAGCAATTCTATTGATAAAGCTTTTTTCAGAATGAGAAATAAATAAGCATTTGATAATAAGTACACTGTTTAACTTTGCTAGTAGTTGGATTTTGTTTGAATCAGCTTACAGTCTCTTACCATCAGATGTGGTATCCCAAAAGCATGAACTAGCTGTATGAAAGCCATATGCACTCCTCTGGACCACGGCACAGGTCACTAAAAATAAAGTCATAGAGTAAGGGCGTTTATAAACAAAGGAAAAGATATCCAAGATCTAAGTGTTTGAATTTTTGGCTTTAAAAGGTGCAAAAATAATAGAAAACAAAGCATTTAGCAAGCAAATACATTTAAAAAATAAAAAGTCCCTCACCTTGATTATCTAATACCACGAATTTGTCCCCACCAGATCCAGTCTGTTTGTTGCCCATTTCCATAACCAGTGGTTATGTGCCCTGCCTCATGGACATAATTCAGTCAAAGAAAATATTCCACTTCAGAAATAATTATTGTGTGGTACTTCACAGTCTTACATGTAAGGAGGCACAGGGTTACTGAAAGGAAGATAGTAGGGCCCAGTAGGTTATGGTGGAAAGAACTAACTGATGTAAATGTAAAAGATGATGTTACCAAGAAAAGGCTTTTAAAGAGCAAGCGATATCTCTATCTTTTAGATATCATATACTAGAGTCTCAGTGCACAAAATTTGTGCATAGGCGGGTTCCCCTCAGCCAAGCTTGCATCCTCTCCAATCTGGGACCCCTCAGGGGATGTCCAACTACTGGTTTACAATCAGGCCTAAACCGGCAGTAAGACATCCCTCTCACAATCCTGGGCCACTGGCGCCTAATTGCTCACCTGCCTGCCTGCCTGGCCACCCCTAACTGCCCTCCCACTGGCCTGATCACTCCTCACTGCCTCTGCGAATCGACCTGATTGCCCTTAACTGCTCCCCTGCCCCCTTTTGGCCTGGTGGTCCTCAATTGCCCCAATCTGCTTGCCTGTTTGCCCCCAAGTGCTCCCTCCTCAACCCCCCCCCCCCGCTGGCCTAGTCACTCTTCACTGCCCCCCTACTGCTGGCCTGGTCGCCCCATGCAGCCTGCTTATTTGGTTGTTTAGTCATCCCTCACTAACTCCACTGTTGACCTGGTTGTAGGCAGCCATCTTATGAGGGCATGATGGTCAATTTGCATATAACCTCTTTATTATATAGGATTATCTTTAGATGAATATATCAGAAGTCCTTTATACCCTATTAATATCCAACTACAGTGTCTATCATTCAGTTATATTCTCTAAATTCTGAGAAAATTATAAGAACAAAGGTGAGTAAACTTCTAAGGAAGGATAGTAACACTTACCAATATATTTATAAGCTTTTCCTAATTTGACCAAATGTGCTAAGGATTGTTCCACGATACTTGCAGTCCATTGGTTGATGTTGTTCTGATTATAATCTTCACCACCCAAAACTCCATCTATACACTAAAAGGGCAAAGGACAGTTAACAAATTACACTAATTGCAGCAAAAATATATGCAAAATACAAAATGCATTTGTAACCCAATAGAGCATCTTAGAAATTATGCATCTAGTAAGTATTTAGTGAGCAGTGTCTCTAATTGTTTAAGAATTTTCAAAGCATGTCCACATGCATTATCTCACTATGAGATACAATGGTCACATACAGATAAATCTGACATGGATCAGGTATAAAGAATTTAATCTAGCAAAGAAGCTAATAATTCTATAACACAAGGAAGACTAATCAAGGATGTTAAGTTATATCATAAAAGAATTAGGCCAGTAGAGATTTTAAAAGGGTAATATCAATTGGTTAAAGAATGGCTTTGAGAGAGAAAAGATGGCAATCAGCAAGAAGGTAGGGAGGGAGAGATTGTGAGAGAGTGAGGAAGCAACAGAGGAGTTTGTGGATGTGGTGTGTGTGTGTGTGTGTGTGTGTGTGTGTGAGAGAGAGAGAGAGAGAGAGAGAGAGAGAGAGAGAGAGAGAGAGAGAGAGAGAGAGCGCGAGCGCACGCTAGGGACAGTTTGATTCTTTAGTCATCTAAGGGGCTGCTAAACTGCAAAGTCTTAAATGGGGAAACCCCTCTGCCACTGCAGACACTTCGGAGGCAGATAGCGCAGGTATAGAGACCACAACATCTTGAAAAACAGAACTGCTTGAGACTAGGATCCTAGCCTCACCACCACCCAATCTTATCTCAGATGCAAACCAGGACCTTACAGCCTCTAGGGACAAATACCTGCTACCCACAGATACCAAGAATCCAGACATCCTGGCCACAGATTTATGTGACTCACAGAGCCCCTCCCCACCACTCAGGCTTGCTGCAGCACCATAGGAACTGCTAGACCCGCTCCATGCAAAAAGGCTTCCTGTCCACACAGGGCAGCTCAACTACCTGAATTTGAGCGTGGACACTCAGACAGTGGGAGGATGTTTCCCACAGCATGCACTATCATGACCAGACCCCATGCCCACACAGGGCAGCTCCACTATCTGAATTTGAGCCTGGGTGTGTGGACATTGGAAGGCTGTTTCCATAGCATGTACACGCACGATAAGAACCCACACACACAAAGTATGGCAGTGAGAACTGACTTTGATTCTGGGCAAGTGCACACAGAAGTCTATTTTTCGCAGTGTAGGAGTGGAACTCCTGATGACACAGGTTGGCTGTGCAACCTGGTGCCCCAAGCAAACCGGGGACCATGATTCTCCATAAAAGAGGTAGCACTGAGCACAAGTGATTTGACTCTGTTTCTCATCACACACACCTAGGATCCCTGATTCTCAGTGCATGCACAATAAGAGCCAGTGACTCCAATTCTGGTTGCATGCATACACAGGGACCCTGAATCTCAGCATGTGGCTGCACCAAGTAAGAGAAACTCTGATACTCAATTTTTGGCATGAGCACAGGGGGACTATGACTCCTTATATGTGTTAGGGGACTCTGATATTTGGTACACAGCAGCAGGGTCTCTTTTTCAGCAAGGCGCGGGGGGAGGGGGGGCGCGGGTGGTGGTGGAGGGGTGTCTCTGATTCTAGGTGCGCATGAGGCTGTACTGAGAGCCAGTGGCTCTGATCCTGGGTGAATGTGGTTCCAACCAGCTCATGGCGGCCACATGCCTTGGTGATGGAGCTCTTCAGTGACACTCAGGTGGTGCAAAGCTCTCACTGCACAAAGCCCAGGCCCCCTCAACTCGGCATTTGAACCTTCTGGTGAAAGTTAGAATAGGGAGGCAACAAAACAATTCCCAAAGGAAAGAAAATGAAGAATCACCAAGAAAGGAAATAAGTGAAATGGAGACATGTAGCATGACAGAAAAAGAATTCAGAATAATGGTTTATAATTCATACACCAGATGTATGAGAAAATCAACAACCTATGCAAAAATCAGGAAAAAATCAAAAGTTATATACCAACAATAAAAAATAAAAAATAAAAATACCATGGAAGGTTTCAACAGAAGATTAGAAGAAGCAGAGGACCAAATTAGTGAATTAGAAGATACGGTACAGAAACAAGCCCAATCTGAACAGCAACTGGAGAAAAAAGTTAAAAACCAGGAGGAAAGCCTAAGGGAGCTTTGGGACAACACAATAAGAAGTAACATATATATATGTAATAGGGCTGCCAGAAGGACAAGAACAGCAAGGATTAGAAAATCTATTTGAATAAAAAATGACAAATTCTCTGATATGGGAAAGAAAAAAATTTCACAAGTACAGACAGTCCCAAGAAAAATGAATACAAAAAGACCCACACCAAGACACACCATAATTACAATGGCAAATGTTAATGACAAAGAAATAATTTTAAAGGCTGTAAGAGAGAAACAGAGGATCTACAAAGGATCCTCCATTAGATTATCAAATTATTTCTCAACAGAAACACATCAAGCTAGAAGGGACAGGAGAGAAGCACACAAAGTGATGCAAAGCAAAGGACAGAATCCAATAATACTCTATCCAGCAAGACTATCAATCAAAATTGAAGGGGAAATTGGGAGCTTCACAGACAAAAATAGGCTAAGGAAGTTTATCACTACCAAGCCAGCAATGCAAGAAATGCTAGGGAATGCTATAAAAAGAAGAAATAGGGAGGAAAGAACAAAGGCATAAAGTACAGAAATGGCTACAGACAAGTACCAATCAATAACATTAAATGTAAATAGATTAATGCTCAAGTCAAAAGAAATTGTGTGATTGAATGGATAAGAAAACATGAACCATTATATATATATACATACATATATATATATATATATATATATATATATATATATATTTTTTTTTTTTTTTTTTTTTTTTTTTTTTTTCCTTACAGGAGACCAACCTCAGAACAAGTTTCTCACAAAGACTGAGAGGGGAGAAAAAAAAAAGTCTATCAGGCAAAAAAATAAATAAATAAATAAACCTCAAAATAAAGACCATAATAAGAGACAAGAAAGGCCACTTCAATTCTAACGAAATTGATACAAGAGGATATAACTCTGGTAAACATTTATGCACCCAATGCAGGAGCACCCAAATATATTTAAAAAACTTCTTGAAGATGTCAAGGGAGAGACTTTCTAAAAATGGAGGCAGAATAGACAGATGTGTTCCAAGCTTTGTCTCGGAACAAGGAAAGAAAGAACAGCTAAGGTTTGCACGGGGGGACTGTTAGACGGGGCTCCCTTGACCTGGAAGCCCCCACTGGGGCTGGGTCCCCTCCTGGAGCTAGAGGCTTGGACATGGAAACCATGCCATCTTGAAAGGGCAAGTAGATCTTATTGGAAGCCTGAAAATCCACAACTGCAGAAACCACTGGACACCTGGAACCCCAGAGCACTGGTCTTCAATTGGCACAAACACATGCATTCAAAGGAGCTCCTCACACCACCACAAAAAGGTCATATTTCGCCTGGGATAAGGTGAGGTCACTAGTCCCAGCAAAAGAGAGAAACGAGTACTTTCCGGGAGCTAGAGGACTGGGGAAGTCTGTGCCTAAAAAAGTTTGTGGCTATTGTGGCTGGCTTGAGCCTTGATTGTGGAAGGGGGTCCTCCAAGCTGCTAATGGGAGGGATCTCTACGAATCAACCCATTTTGATCTGACGCTGAAGGACAGCCTAAGAATTTCAAAGGAGTGCAGGCTGCTTAGACTTGGCGCCGACCCATTGTTTGCTCACTTGGGCTTTTCCCTCTTCATTTCCTTGCTTCTTATTACTAAGCTGAATACATACCGTGTTTCCCCGAAAATAAGACATCCTCCGAAAATAAGACCTACTTACAGGTTTCCTTCTGAGTGAAATATAAGGCATCCCCCCGAAAATAAGCCCCCCATGGCTAAACATGAGAGATTTGGTCCACTGATTCTGAAAGAAATGGAGTCACAAGAAATTCACCAGGAAATTAATTGGATTGTTATGATGATGTTCCAGAAGATGATGACATGATTGTCATTGAATAAATGAGTAAATTCTTGATACTGTAGGATTCACAGTTTGTCTGGGTTGTGTTGACAACTACGGTACTACCATACCGTATACAGGTAATAGATTTCCTTTATTTTCATTTAACAATAAATGTGTACCATATTCTTATTCATGGAAAAATAAGACATCCCCTGAAAATAAGACCTAGCTCATCTTTGGGAGCAAAAATTAATATAAGACACTGTCTTATTTTCGGGGAAACAGGGTAGGATCACCCAGTTGGGGACACCTTGGATGACTGCAGGGGAAAGTTGTTTTTTTGAAACCTGGGGATCGGAGCAGAGAGTTACTATTGGAGAGCCACCTCTCAGGCAGCCCACCTCCACAAACAGGTATTGAGTGCCATAGGGAAAGAAGGTTAGAGAAGGCATAGAGACCCTGAAATCAATCCAAAAACACTGCCACCCAGGGGCTGAATCAAATTGACTCTTGTGTAATAGAAAATAAAGGAATATGAGAAATTAAGACACCACCTGCTTAAAAATTAGGACTGTCTTACAACACTGAAGAACAGTGGAATGCAGGGAACTACAATATTGTCCAGACTGGGAAAAAGGAGTGCCAAACAGAACAATAGAGGAAGTGAATGACCTTCATTATTGCAAATTTTATTTTTTATTTTATAATTTTTATATTTTATTCTCATTTTTTGCATCTTTTGGGAAACTAATTTTTTTTCTTTTTTCCTCACTTGATTTTACCTTTTTAATCATTACGTTTTTATTTTCAATCAGTATTACTACTACTACTATTTTACCTTTTTTTTAAGTGTCATTTTATTTTCTCTTTATTTTACTTTGGGATTAGTGTTCTAAATTCTATTTCCATCTTTCCTTTAGCATCATTTTACCCTATCTCAACTCTACCTTTATACCATCACTCTCTTCCTAACCTTTCCCTTTTTGCTGTCCTGTATATCTTAACATTTCCTGCTTTATACTCTCCCTATTCTTTCTGTTTACCCCATGCTAAAATTTCAT